CTAAATGCATTGTATGTAAGTGTTACGTTCTTGAACTTCTTCATTCTAACTGATATTAATTTCAATTTAATTAAACCAAAATTTTGCAATCTAGAATTTATATGCTTTCACTTGATACAGAATGAGTTTTTCACTATCCTGCCTTTTATCTCAAAAGTCTTCTATTAAATTTGTTTTCCTGCTTCCTACTCATTAAAACATTCACTCTAGCAATTTCTACCAACTAATAACGACCTCATCTTGCCAATTTATTGTATCTTAGCAATTATAAACGAAATATTCTTCATCATTTCTATGGTTTGCGCGTAACTTTCAGATAAAATTCGAATTATTCAATGCGAAGGTCACAGGAAGGATTAGGACATCAATTCAATTAGATATGCTGTATTCTTGTTAGAACATATAATTAACCAAAGTAATCTGTATAGACAGATCTGCTTGTTGCTATCTTGTTTTTTATTTCTTGTATAAGTTTTTCTCAAATAAATAGAGAACACTTTCAAGAATAACATACGAAAGAGTAAGAAATAATGTTGAAATGAAAATCAGAAAATTTTTATTGATGAGGATGTGTCTGTGGGATGAAGAGAAGATCAACATCCACACCTGTTGAAAGCAATTATCAGAATGAACTCACACACTCCGTTGTCTAATAATCTAAGTAAACGGTAAACATTCATGTTTAAAAAAATATCTATATTTCTTTTATTTAGATCGTTTAAACATTCCAATAAACAGTACGTATTTCCTTATAAATATATATATATATATTTTTTTTTTTCTTTGGTTTAGTAAGTCTGATCGTTCATTGAAATGATTAGACGATTGAAATGGAAGAAAAATGTGTTTACTTCATATAATTATAATAAATGATCTTTTTCTTTTTCTTGGATCATTTACACATTCCCATGAACGGTAAGTATTATTTAATAAACAAAAAATTTCCTTCTTCTATCTAGCCAATTTGAACATCGAAATAAGCGGTAACTATTAATTTATAAAAAACATTCTATTTTGTTGGTTTATTTCGATCACTTATACATCTCAACCCATAGTAAGTGTTATTTAAGAAGAATAACTTTTTTTGTCTTCTATTTAGATCATTAGATCATCGAAGTCAACGGTAAGTTTTTTTTTAAATCAATATCTTATATTTGGATCTCTCGATAGAAAATGATCAAAATTCTTTCACAAAAACTGTTGTATAGTTTATTGCACGTAGGAAGAAGGAAAACATCTCTCTCCGCATCAATGAAAAACACGTTTAAGCTTGTTGATAATTGCAGTAATTTATATGCGAAAAGAAAGTGATAGTTGTAGGTTTACATACTACAGCGAGCCTGGTTATCGTAAAGATTGCTTGAATAATCGTGATTGTTCTTGGAAGATAGCAAAAAAAATCAGAAAAAGTTGCGGCTTTTTTAGGAAAATCAAGAACACAGTTGGCATTAATCGTCATTTAGGCGATTAGTCGCATGTCATTTCGTGCAAAACCAGACTGACAAGTCGTCATTAAGTCGCCGTTATCGGCAACGATTTTGATGAGATGGTTGTTAATATAGTTATGAACTGAGGTTTGATCACGATGTATGGGATTTTCTCATGTGGGAGTGTGGTTGTGGTTGTGCATGTCGGACGATATTCACTTTTCTTACATACCCACATCCGCACTCTCGTACGAGCGCCTGTGTTCAGCATCAGTTCTCAAAACAAAATTGAGCAAACGGTGAGAGATTATGGTTAGATCAAATTTAGTCGAGGGTGAAACGAGTCGTGGCCACGAGCGTTATTTGTATCATCTAACAATCAACAATAGAGTTATCCTGTGAAGTATCTTATTGATTTTCGAGTTTGCCTGCTTTAATATGAACCTTATGTTATTCCCTTGTCTTGATGATTAATATTATAGATAACAGAAGATATTCTATCTCTAGTATTCCTCTTAGCAAGACAATTTTCTATCCGTTGTGTTTCTCTGATTCATCGAAACACCAAAATTCCTAAATAACTTTCTAATATGAAACAATAGTAAACAGCGTATCAAACACTAATTAATGGAGAATTTTCAATTGAAAACACAATCTTTGCATGAATATTTTAAAGATAATGTTCCATATATTGTCAACATTGGATTCATTTACAGTATGAATAAATTGCGACGAATAGTTGTTTGTGTTAGATGACACAATTTGATACAGAGAAAAAAGACGCTTCGTTAAAGGTTGTTTTTTTCTTGGAAGTCACATTTCGAAAGTGTATTATCATCGACATGACTCAGTTTGATCTATATATTACTAATATGATAAGTAGAGTAAAAATGACACATAATAATAGGAATGGCATTTCCAATAGACATCGAAAGCTAATGTGAGAAAAAAAGAAATTAATTGTTTAAGATCTAATCTAGAATTTGATAGATTTGGTTTTTTTTGTGTTAATATTGATTTAAAATTGTAAAAACAGAATAAATTCAATTTCGAACAAAATATATTTTTTAATATTTCATATCACTAAAATAAACAAAAAAAAACAACATCGAATATCTCTCTCTTCCATATAACATAGTTTCAATCAATTAATCATTGATTAATAAATTAGCAAATATTTTTGTCGAAAACTTGTCTAATTTCGTCAAATGATGCGACTTGCATTTATGAAAAAGTTTTGATTATATCTTTTGTGATTGGTCTTGTCAAATGAAATATTATTCATTTCTGTCGGTAGAAAAATAATGTTTTTTTTTTCTCTTTCACAATTATTGTAACCAATCGGGCGTATCAATCAAATATTTATATATTATTCATTTATAAATGAATCGACGCAAATTTTCATCATTCATTTTGAAGTCATTTTATTATTCAACATGCCACTTCTTAAATGGCTACAGCAAAATGTTAAAAAAAATAGACCAAAAAATATAATAGAAGATTTAGATGATGATAGACGACAAGCAGAAGAAGAAACAACAAAAATAAGTTATGATGAAGAAGCAGTGATTCATCATGATGGAATAAAATTAGTTTATTTTGCATCAGCAACACCAAGTCAAAATGTGATCGATTGTCTCAGTGCATTGCATAAAGATGCTCAAGTAAGGTTATATAAAACATTCCTTTTTTGCATATTCGAATATATTTCCAGACTTTTGTTGATGAAATCAAATGTGTAGAATATGTTAAATCTACAACAGATAAAGTATTTTTAATAATTGATGGTGCACCATCAACAACTCTTATTGAAACAATTGAACCATTAATACAGATTGATTCTGTATTTGTTTATTCTTCATCATCATATACCTTTACTACAATTAGTCAAAAACAACATAATTATATACTTATTTTATGTGAAAATGAAGATACACTTTACGATTCAATAGTTAAATCTTGCGAAGAACTTGATAAACAAACAGCTGCATTTAGTATGTTCAATAAAAAAGAAAAAGAAATATATGATCTTTCAAAAGAACAGGGTTCATTTTTATTTTTTCAATTATTTAAATTTCTTTTAAAAAATTTGCCGAAAACATATGAAGCAAAAAAGACAATGATAAGAATATGTCGAAACTATTATCGAAGAAATTTAACTGAATTAGCAAATATCGATGAATTTGATCATACATATAGATCATCTGATGCTATATCATGGTATATGAAAGAAACATTTCTTTACAAGTAAGTTAATGATGAAAAGAAAAGCAACAACAACAATAAAAAAAAAAATTGGAATTTTTTAGATTTATTAACAAAACACTTCAAACACAAGATGTTGATCTTATTTATCAATTTCGGTTTTATATTACAGATTTAAGTGAACAACTTGAATTAATATTTAAAGAACTAAAAGAAAAACAAAAAGATGTTTTAAAACTTTATCGTGGTGTACAATTAAATCAGGATGAAATGACTGATTATCAAAATAGTGTTGGAAATTTAATATCAAATAGTGGATATTTATTAACAAGTAGCGAACGTTCAGTTGCTTATGATTTTGCAACAAAATCTGCTAAATCAGAAGGTGTTGTACGTGCTTTATTCGAATATTTAGTGGATTTAAACGTTGTTCAAAATATTGTTATTGCTGATATTGGACAATATTCAGCATTTCCTGAAAAAGCTCACTTTATGATTGATATCGGTAAGAGAAAAAAAAACTAAACAGTTTTATTTATCGATCAATCGAAATAGATTGAGAATATCTAAATATTAAGTTTGTTTTTGTACTTGTCATTCGGTATTATTTTCAAAAACAATTATTGTATAAGAATAATATCAGTGATAGTGCAGAATAATGATATATATATATATAGAAAAGTTCGTCATACCAGGAGCAGACAGCAATTGTTGCGTAGTCCGTCTCTCTATTGTAAAATTTCTGACTAATCCCTCGCTATAGACATAAACAAAATTGATTTTGATGAATTATTGAATAGTTTGTTATTAACTGTAGCAAAAAAATATAAGTACCATGCATCCTCATTGTTATGTCACTTTTTTTGGTATTCTCTCTATTGTCTAGAATATAACTTGTGTTTAATTTAAAAAAAAACTTCTCCTTTCAATGTATCAATAAAGCTGTTTACATTTGAATAATACTAATATTTTCGAGCTATTGGCATGTAAAACATTCGATGGTTTTAGTCAAATGCTTTTTCAGCTAATGGTCTATTTAAGAATACGTTTTCGAAAATTGTTCGTGTATTAAAGATCATCTTGTGATAAGAGATTTTTTTTGTTTTTTAATCATTGATTCTTAGGTTTTTGTAAATGATATTCTTATTTGCATCTATAGGAGCAACATTTCAAATCGATTCATGTGAATATAATGCTAAAGAAGATCTATGGCATATTAAAGTTCATGCAACTGATAAAGGTGCTGATTTAGCTGCTGAATATATTGAATATCAAAAGAAAAAGATGACTGAATCAAATATAGCATTAATCTTTGGTAATTTACTTCTTGAAATGGGTGAATATGCTAAAGCTGAACGATATTTTGATACTATTCTTAATTCATCAAATCCAAATAATGAAGAAATTGCTTGTATATATTTTAATTTTGGTCGTACACATCGATTAAAAGGCGACTTTGATCGTGCAATAAACTGTTATAATCGTGCATATAATTTACATATAAATGCTCGACCAGAACGTTTAGCAAGTGCTGGAAAAACTTTAAATGGCCTTGGAGTTGTTTATAGTGAACTGGGACGGCAAGTGAAAGCTGAGGAATGTTTTCGACAGGCTATGGAATTATATAAAAAAAGTATTCCAAAAAACCATGTTGATGTTGCTGGAACATTAATTAATTTGGGTACTATTGATTGTGATCGAAAAAATGTAAGAGAATATTTGGGTAAAAAATTTTTTTTTGTTTTTATTAAATGTTTTGATTTAGTTTAAACAAGCATTGAGTAAATATCAAGAAGCAAAGAAAATTTATGATAATTCTCTTCCACCAGGTCACCCAAATCGAGCACTACCAAGAGTTAATTTAGGTAATGTTCATTTGGCAACTGGAAATTATGAAAGCGCTCTTCAAGAATATGAATCAGCATTGAAATTACAAGAAGCATCATTACCAGCTGATCATGCAGATATTGCTCGAACATTACATAATTTAGCGATTGTTCATACACATCGAGGAAATATGAACGAAGCAAAAAAATATTTAGAACGTGCAAAAGAAACAGCTGATCGAACATTATCTTTGAAACATCCAGTTAGGACATTAATTGATAAAACAGAAGTTGTTTGAATCGACGAAGCATAAGATTATATTTATAGTCAACATTGAATAAAGATTTTCTTTGTGTATTTTAAAATTGGATGGTTTTTATTTTATTTCATTTTATTTTTATCTTTGATTAACATAAAAAAAATTTATCACTGTGAAATACTCTTTAATCTGACATCTTGTTGAATAAAATACAATGCAATAAACCAGTAACTGTTGCTTTTAATTATATCTTTGTTATAGGCAATTGAATATTATAAATATTTTATATTCAAAATTACGTAATTTACAGTGGACGTCAGAAATCTCGCACCATTTTTTTGTTTTGGTTCGTATTTCAAAAATACACGACATAGAATCAAATTTCTTTTTACTTTCGGATAGCGGAGCTCGAGTACTATATGTATCTATATGTTTGCAATGAATAATCTTTGAATCTGAAATACAAGAAAGACAACAAACTTCAGTGCTACGACAAAAACTACATAAAAAAAGACAAGCTGATATCGTTGTTATGATTTTGAGTAAGATCCTAGTAATACGAAAATCGAATAAGTTTTTGTTTGGTATTTTTACATGAGTCGATAGATCTCGACAAGCTCTACGAAGCTGTCTACATTAAATTTTTTTATAACCTTTCCTGGGACAAAAAGATTACAAAATCATTGCATGTTTTATTTGTGCTAGATGAAAAGTCGAAAATGTTTTTTTATACCAGAAAAGCATAAACATACAATTTTATTGTAATTTTTTGTCCCCAGAAAAGGGTTCTAAAAAATTTTAATATAGACGCTTTTGTAGAGCTCGTTGAGATCTATCGACTCATATAAAAATACCAAACAAAATCTTACTCGATTTTCGTATTACTCCAACTTTAGTTAGACTTCTATAACTGATAACAATTGTACCATTTTGTCTTATTTCGGATAGTTTTTGTCGTAGCACTGAAGTTTGTTCTTTTTTCTGTGTTTTCGATTCAAGGGTTATGCATTTCAAACATATGCATACTTATAGTACTCGAGCTCCGCTATTCGACGGTAAAAAGAAATTTGAATTTATGTTGTGTATTTTTGAAATGCGAATCAAAACAAAAAAGTGAGGCGAGACTTTTAACGTCCACTGTATTTTAAAAAATTAACATTCTTTTTGATGAAACGATTAATTAGCATTTGCATATTAGGTAAGGATTCACCAAGTCTTGGAACATGATTTCAAAGACGACATTTTTTCTCTATTATGAGTGTAAGTGTGTGGGTGTGAGTCTTTTCTTGAACCAGTCCTACACCCGACAACAACATTTTATTGAGACGTTTCGTGAATAACTAGTCACATCATCAGTGAAAAGTAAAAAAAATATGCTGATTTTATTTTTTCGTTCTTCAAAAATTATTTACCTGTTTTTTTTTTTTATTATTTTAATGTATCTTCACGTTTATCTTTACCCTTGACTGATGATGTGAATAGTTATTCATGAACCGTCTCAATAATATTTTCTTATCGGTGCACATTATTCTCTTATTTAATATTAAATATATTCACCGAGTAACTATAAGACGTACTAAAACAGTGAATATATTTTAATTTGCATCGGAAAATGGCATTGAATTCAGTGAAAGTGTGTTGTCTGTATGTGCAGCTTTTCTCTCGAGAAACAAAAAGGTAATAAGGGTGGGTGTTGTTATACAGATGATCAAGAACTACATGAACACCCACACCTCTACATTAATAAGAGTAGTTTGATTGGCTCGATAATGTGATCGAGGAAAATTTAAACAAATCCGTTTAATGAACACTCATCCATATTAAAGATAGAATTTTCATTAAACTAATACATCGAAATTTCAAGGCTGAAGCTTTTTTTCAATTGACGAGCAGTATTTAACCGCTTAGCGAATATCATTTACTCATCAACTTTCTTTTTTTCATTATTGGTTATTTTGAAAGTTCTTTAAGGTCTCCCCCCTATAAAAAAAAGTCAATTTTCATCAAAAATTTCGAAATTGAGATAAATGCATGGGAAGATAGCCCGTCTTCAGATCTTTCAGAAATGATATTATTTTTTCCCGATCCCTCTTCTTTGGTGAGAAATTTTGATAATTTCTGTAATCAGCTGCTCAAAAAAACACGATTTTTCCTAGAAAAAACTGAATTTTTGAGGTTTTTGCATGCAAAATAAGCACTCTAATGGAATGTACAGATTGTGGGTGTGAATGTTCTCTTCACCCACCCACACCCGTTCACAAGTTTTATTGTAAATTTGAAAGATAGTCTGAAATCCATAAAGATAACACTTTGTTCACTTGTGTGAAAAGAAATATTTTTTCTCATTAAAAAAAGACCCATGAAGCTATTCTACATTGATGACAATTTCAGAACATGCTAGTTGAACCTAATGAATACCTATAGTATTGTTTCAGTTTTAGGGAACTTGAGCGAATGCACATGTCTTGAGGGCGTGGGTGTGATTACGGGTGTAGATTCAGTTGTAGTTATTCTCATCCACACCCACACCCACAGTCACACGCCACCCACGCACACACACTATATTAGAAGATAAATTTAATTTTGTTTTCTGTTAAAAGACTTCATTGTTACTGAAATCTTATCTACTTTATATCGATTGAATTCTGTATTTAAATACTAATTTCATAACAAACACCACTGTATTATACTCTCATTTCTAGGATATTGTTCAACACCATAATACGATTCCCATCATTTTTGTCTTCATTAAAATAGATGCGTTTATTGTTTTGGGTGTGAGTATGGGATGGTCTGGGTCTTCTCTCCGTTCACATCCACACCTATACATCGCTTCTAAATTCTTGCCTTATCACACTCGGTTTACATGAACTAGAATAGAACTTTTATATTTATTTTGAGCAAGGTTCGACGTGACTTTACTTCAACGACTCTTAAATAACGAACTAGTTACTACAACTTTATTGTTATATTCTTCTCACTGGGTATGACACCGATCACGAAGAAGAAATATAGAAAGAAATTTGTCATTTTGTTGTTAAACAACGCCACAACCAAATACGGCTTCCACTTCCCTAATGAATGTTGTTTCTCTATTCGGAGAACGATAAAAGATGACGTTATCGTCGTCATCATAGTCATCATTTGTAAGCAATGACTCAGAATATTACTCCGCATGTGATTTTGTTCTTTGTTATTACACAACGACTAAATAATAGTAGATGATATAAAGTACTGCTACTCGTTCTACTTCATCTGTTCTTATAGTATAAAACAAGTAGGTATATCACTAAATTTCATCTACTGTTAAATCTTTACTTATTACTACTGTTGACAATAATGACCACCGAATCACCGGTATCTATCTGCTTCTTCCTCTTTTACTTGGCAGTACATGACCTTGAACACTTTAGCACTGAAACACTTAAACAGATCGTTTTTTCTTTCCAGAAGTAAGAGTAAAAAATATTAATTGTGCAATCCAGCTTATAAGAGTGGTTGCAAGTGCATCTAATTTTAGTTTTACTGCTTTCTTGGCTATAATCGAACAGTAAAGCCAAATGAACGTCGTTCTAATCAAGATTCCTAAAACTTTCGATCTACAAAATTTATATTCATACTGCAATCTATTCTTCCATTAGGCCATGTGTAATAACGCATGTCTTTCTATTTATAGCAAAGAAGAAGCAACGTTCATATAGCTGTATCGTCGGTATTTCTGCGAATAGTTACTTTTGCGATCTCCGAAAGCACAAATGGAATTTAAAAAATCGGTCATAATTATTGGAGGAGGATGGAGCGGAATTGGGGTTGCTGGATCATTTGCGTACAACAATTTTGATGATTATATTTTACTGGAGCAAACGGACTGTATTGGAGGTTTTTGGAAATATCATACTTACGATTCTGTACGAATGCACGATCTAAGTAGATTATATAAAACACCTCATCATCTGTTGGAGAAATATAAAGATCATTTTCTTTTGCAGTCCGAAGTACCGATGTATTTACAGCAATACGCAGAGCATTATGGAATATCAAATCGCGTAATATTTAGATTTAAAGTAACACAAATTTCTAATCAAGAAGATGAAGAATTTTGTTGGAGAGTAACTGGAATAAACTTAATTGAAGATGTTGAAAGAACTTACATTTGTAAATACCTTTGTATTGCAACATCTTATTGTCGAGTTCCGCATATTCCAGAAAATATCATGAAATCTATGGATCGTTTTAAAAGAAAGATAATTCATTCAGCTGACTATAAAAACCCTTCTACTTTTGATATTTCAAAGCATAGAAAAATTCTTATAATTGGAGGTGGTCATTCCTCTGCAGAAATATCAACTGAATTAACAGATGCTGGATTTCATGTCACTATTGCACATCGTGGTGGACAGTACTTTATGAGACAACATGATTGGACACCTTACCTATCAAATCAAACAATTGAAAAATCTCTGCAATATTGGGGATATTCGATGGCAGATGAAAATTTCAAAAAAATACTGGATACATTCGATGAACGATTTTTGGAAAAAATATATTATATTAATAATGATATTAATTGGGCAATTCCTTTGTTAAGACCTGCTTCTTTTATAATTTTACATAAGAAAACGTTTATTGATGATGCTCATTTCATTGATTTACTTCGACAAAAGTCGATTGAAGTTAAAGGAACTGTTAGAGAAATTGTTGAAGAAGGAGTTATATTTGAAAATAGATCTGAAATTCAAGAATTTGATGGAATTATCTTATGCACTGGATTTTCACATGGACTTGAACAATTCTTAGATAATGCAAATCAATATTTAAGTCATCATCGTTATCGTCATTTACCACCAGAAAAAGCATGTTTGCCAATAACTGATGGTCGATGCAAATCATTCACAAAAAAACAACCTATATTTTCCAGGGTTTGATTATAGAATTAATCAGAGAGTTGATTTTGCATTATATTCATGGTACGTTGGAGAAAGAATACTTAGTGACATTATGAGAAATGATTTTATTCCTGAATTGTCTCCTTCTAAATTCAAATAAGACAAAACTGAAGCGGATGATGTACTGAATTGGTGATAAAATTGAAAGTGACTGTTGTCAATGATCATTTATTTAAAAAAGACGATGGAAATAAAAATTTCGCTAAGATAAACGGTGTTAAATTGTGATAAGTTCTAGTTAGATTCGGCACAAAACGCAGAACATGCGTGAGTAACAAACTTCAAATAACTATGCACTCTCTTAGCTAGATCAAATCAATTTGTGCCACTCAACTTCTGAACTAAGAAGTCTCGAAAAACTATTATACATTTTTTTGATTTCATTTTGTTCTTTAAAAATAGTTTATGAAAGTTTGGATAACGTATTGAGTGATGTTTCGTCAGCCTTGCGAAAAAAATTAACATATACCTTTATGTTCTATTTTCAGATTCTACAATTAATACTGTACGAGCGAAAAGTTTTTAGATATTTATGGCTTACATTAACTTGTCCGATTGTAGAGTTTAGAAAATGAGGGCTGCTGTCGATGTTTGAAATAGTGAGTTTTACGGTATTTTATCTGTAACTTCAAAATTTTCAAGCAAATATTGAACCTTTGGAAAACGACGTTAGTGGAAAAATAAATTAATTTTTCGAATAAAACGTACTATTCGTCTTCGAATGCATAGAAGCTAAAAACTGAATATAACATTTTGTCGCAAATCCAATCGTCTATAAAATGAGCTATGAAGCTTTGTTCTACCCATATTCTGAAAAATTTGAATTCGTATTACCCAACGAACGTCGATTCACAAACTAATTTCTTTGTTTTTCGATTCGAAACAAAACAAATTTAACGTTTGGAATGACTTCCTGCAAAATAGAACCAACAAAAAATGTGCTTTAATCGAATTTTCTTTTCGCTTTATGAATGACTCATATGATAAAAACAGCACATTTTGCAACGAAGCTAAATAGGAAACAAAGCATAGAGAATGATACCAGTGACGTTTATATTATATTCGCTCTAACATTCTTTTTGAGTTTTACTCCAACTTATATACTCACTGTGGAACATAAAATGTAAATAATGCTATTCAGGTGACCGATCAATTCGTCGCATAATAAACGAGAACATACATTAATTGAATTAAGTGATTTAGTGTAGTATGTTATTTAATTAATCACGCAAATGTATGCCCTACTATAGAATTATTAGATCTAAATGATGGATAGAAGACGCAATTCAAATGAATAAATAATTTAGTTCTAAAAAAATTGCTTACAAAATTCTTCTGATAAAGTGCAAATAGTCTGCTATGAAATGAGACTCAAGTTCTTTCAGAAGACGACTTCTGAAGAAATCTTCAGCTAAGAAAAACTAAGAAGAAATGAAGGCAAAATTTGCTGTTACTTGGAGTGTATGACTGATTCAGTATTTTTTGCGACTATTTTCTGTAAATTGCAAAGCTGCTCGGTCAGCGGTTGAAGTGGCTTTGAAAATTTTCAAAATCGCTTTTAGATTTTCGGTGCTGGGAACATTAAATAAAAACAATCGTATTAAATTTTATAACACTAGAGTGTTTTTAGGATATCATTATTTAGAGGTAACACATATAAATTAAAAAAATATTAAACCAAGAAATAAATTTTTGAAAATTTAAATTTAAGAACAAAATAACTTTTCTACAATGAAACATTAAACTTATATTAAGTTTTTTGAATTTAAAGTGGGAAAATTTTATGAAAAGATGATTCAAATTGATTTTGACTTTATTGAAGGCGTTACTAGTCAAATTTTTTTTTTTCGTGCTTTCTAAAAATAAAGATAGTCCTTCCTCTACGAATTCTGCTAATAAATTTAGGTGTTTGAGCATCTTTATTATATGGAAGGTTGAAGTTCAGAAATTATGTATGATTTATTCAGAAATTTTCATATTTATGAGCATATCCTAAACTTAAATACCAGATTTTCCTCTTACTTCTTATGTATTATGGCCTAAGTCTTGTATTTTCCAAATATCGATGACTAAATCAGATTAAAACAATTTATTGGATTGAAAAAAAATTTTTTTTAATTTAAGTTTAATTAAAATTCAAATCTTTCGAGCTCAAAAATTTTAATTTTTTAAAATTTTAAATCAGCCTAAATTTAAATTTAATTTAAATTTAGGTTAAATAAATTGTAAATTGACACTCCTATCATCTTTTGCGAAAAAAAGTATTATCAACAAAGAATCAGTAGACTGTAATGGAAAACATTTTTAAGGGTGATTAATTAAATAACATACTAAACTAAATCACTTAATTCAATTAATGTATGTTCTCGTTTATATGCGACGAATTGCACTAGTGCCGCTATTCGGAGTAAGAGAAAAAAAGGTCTAGCAAACTAACTAGAATTGGGGTGTGGGTGCGGGTGGGTGTGGGTGTTGGTGTGCCTGCGTGTGTGCCTGTGGGTGTGGGTATGGGTGGATGTACTGCTTCCCTTCACTCACATCCACACCTCGCCCACACTCACACCCTCTGAAACTTATGCCATTAGATGGAGTTTGATGAGGTCGAACTGTGTCTCTGTTATCGCGTATAATATGGATCAAAATTCTGTATGAGGAGCATAATTTTATTCGGTAAGTATGTTGTTGGTGGAAAAATTTTTGTCGGCAGGCAGTTGGCCGACAAATTAACGTCGATACCACACTTCGTCGACACAGCATATCAAAAAAATAGTGTGGGTATGGATGTGGGTATGGATGTGGGTATGGGGTGTTGGGTGTGGGTGTCGGTGTCGATGTGGGTTGTGGGCGTCGGTGTGCGTGTGGGTGGGCTGTGGGTGGAGTATAGATGTGGGTGTGGGTGGGAATGCATTTCTATCCACACTCACACCCCCATCCACACCCACACCCTGTTTAACATATATTTGTTAAACATATGAATGCATATTGAAAAGCGGATCTTTTTTGTTAACGAATTCTGTTGAGCAATAACTGAAAAATTTTCATGTTTTCTTTCGTTGCAGACATCTTTGTTTTCTTTTCCTCTTATCTTGACACTTGAAAACTGCCTCCGTATCTATAAACCAAAACAAATTCATGACTAATTGAAAGTAGAATAACATTATCGGATCACTTGCCTTCTCGCACACAAAAAAAAAACAAAGCTCTTATTCTCCTGTTCTCTTGCCATACTCACTGTTGAAGGACTTTCTTCATCAATGATTGAGGTGAAAAAAACCCACTGTATTTTTTTCTTCTATATAAGAAGAGAAAAGCAAGACATTATTTTCTTCATTTACTGTGAACAATTTCAGTTTAGATACGAAGCAAAACCACGTGGCTCTAGAAGTCTGAATCGCTGGTAGATTGGGATCTATGAATCCCTCAGGATTAATTCCAAATGCATCTTATGCAAATGATGGTAGAAGACAACAAACTTTCACTACCAGATCAAACTCGAATTTTATCAGGTATACTTGTTGATTCCAACGAATTGATCATATCAATAAAATGATTATTTTAGACATTATGGCAATCGAGATTCAAGAGAACGATCAAGTTCACACCATCGTCATTTTCATGGAAAACGTAATTCTACAACTTTTGATACGACATCTGAGAGTCCGTAAGTTGTCATTTCAAATAAAATATCCATCAAATCTCTCTTCACCTTCTTAGACCAATCAAACGACCACGTTTACCTCCTGTTTCATATCCAACCCTTACTAAGTTACTCGATAAATCACCAGAGAAGATTCTTACTGAAATGCTTGATCCAAATTTTCAATTAAACAAATTTTTAAATGACAAACGTATGCAAGAAAGATACGATTGGATTTCTTCAATGACAACATTACTTGAAAAGATAACACATTGTATTGAATCACGGGAACGTATCACAATGATCTTAGAACAATTACCAGACACCGCTTATCTCGAAGGTGTTTATAATGAAATTCGAAAAATTGATCCTAATACAAATCAATTCAATTTCAAATTGATTGAATTATTTCTTAAAATATCGAATACATTTCTTGCGATGATACCTCATTCAGCTGATGGTTTTACCAAAATCTTTGATCGGATTGAATTACAATTCACTAAAAATAAGTTTGAATCACGTGTATGAATTATATCTTCAATCATTTCTTTTCTTTAACTTCTTTTTTTGTAGGAATTCGAAGATGCCAAAGAAATACTTGATCAAGTACTTGAACGAGTCAAAGATACCGAAAAACTATATACCACGAATAAGATTACTACTACGCAAAATTATATTGGTCAACCACCGAATCATTATCGTGAATTACATATCGTCCCCGATCTAACCGAACTTTTATCTGAACAACGACCATATCTTCGAAAGAATATTGTTGATGGCATTTATGAAAATGCTGAGCAATATCTTGATGTAAGATTCAATGATTTCTTTTCTGCTTTAATTCAATATATATATATATTTCTTCAGATTCATTTCCGTCTCTTGCGTGAAGATTTTATTGGCCCATTACGTGATGGTATTCGACAACATTTATCCAAAGTTAAAAGCAAAAATTATAATGTGCGAATCTATGAAAATGTTCAATCACTTGGCTCACGATTGACTCCACAAAACGGACTTGTTTATGATTTACGTTTAGATGCAAAACTAGCATCAAGAATTCGTTGGGCTAATAGTCAACGTTTAATCTATGGAAATTTATTACTTCTTACATTTGATAATTTTCAATCATGTGTATTTGCCACAGTTGAAGATCGTTCACAAATCAAAAGAAATTTTATTATCTCAGTAAATTCCATTATTTATTTAATCCATCTTTTTTCTTCCTCTTAGATCAAAGCATTAGAAGATTTTGATCATTCCGAACGAAATCAAATTAATCTTGATAAAATCGATGCATCATGCCGTTTAACAATGATTGAAACAATGACATATTTCGAAGCATATCGACCAGTTCTAAATGCATTACAAATGATACCTTCTAGTGAGAGATTTCCTCTTGCTTCATTTCTTCTGAAATTATCGAATGTAATGACACCACCAGATTATATTAAGCCAACAACAACATATGATTTTACACCACTTCTTATTGATCCGAATTATCGAATCAATTATAAACAATCACATCAAGTGGAGAAAAAATATAAAACAGTTCCAGTACTTGAAAAAGATCAATGGCCAACATGTGAACAATTACATCTCAATCCAAAACAATACGAGGCTTTGATTCTAGCTTTAACCAATAAAGTTGCATTGATACAAGGACGTAAGTGAAATGAAAAGGTTATTTGAAGAAGCAAACGTTTCTTTTCTATTAGCACCAGGCACTGGAAAAACATATCTTGGTGTACGAATAACAGAAATGCTCTTACATAACCGATCAGTTTGGCGTCGATCTGGTGAACAACCAACACCTATTCTAATGATCTGTCATACCAACCATGCACTTGATCAATTTTTAGAATTAATTGTCAATCGATTAAACATACAGAATGGTTTAAAC